AGAGAGAGAGAGAGAGAGAGAGATAAAAGGAGAAAGATATAGGGTAGGGAAAGGGGTGTGTGATCAAACCCATGAAAAGAAGATGTGGGAGGGGGGTGGGGGGTGGTGGACATAACCGTAAACAAGTTGATATTATACAATGTGAAAGGCCCTTTATACTTAAAAATAAACTTATTTACGTAGGTGGAACGACACGCACCAAGACTGCACTGAGACATTTTGTCCAAACAGGATTTCACGTGGCCACGGACAACAAAGAGGAATAATCTTCTCGAAGGGTTTGGTTAACTTGCTGAATTAGGCACACTTATTACGAATTTCTGGCAGATGGACAAATTGGATTTGAATAAATCGATCATAATTAATGAATTATATTCTCAGTAAGTTGCTAGAGATACGTAGAGGTTGAATGCTTAAAATAAGATAGAAATAGACTAATATTGGGAGATACGAAATGTTCTATTGTCATACATAATAATATACATTGCAATAGACCTAGTGCTGAAGTGCAAAACATTGTCCACGTAAATATAGAGCTCAGCACAGACAGAGAGAGAGAGAGAGAGAGAGAGAGAGAGAGAGAGAGAGAGAGAGAGAGAGAGAGAGAGACTATAGATGTACAACACTGTCCTACCTTGTGGCCTGCATGTGTCCTGTCCTCTCCCGTGGCTATCACTCACTCGCTCCGTCTATCTCCCTATCCCTTCCTCTTCTTCAGCTCGTGGAAAGAAGTGTCGCAGAATAAACGAATAAATTGCACAATCGAGAATGCGTTCTCTCTCTCTCTCTCTCTCTCTCTCTCTCTCTCTCTCTCTCTCTCTCTCTGTTCGGTATCTCTCACTCACTCGCTTCGCTGCTACGGCGCTCGTCATACTCCGACACTCCACACCGCCGATCTGACGGACGGATTGGCCGCTCGTTCCTTTGAATATTGGCACGTAAATGGTAAGCCTTCCTTCTGCCACCTTCTCTACCGCCGTCGTAGAAAGAGGAGATCGGTCAGCATCTCATCCCTTGCCTTCTCCCCCTCCTACTCTTCTCCTTCTTCTTTCTTCATAAATCTCTGCTTCCTTTACTGTCCAGCGGCGAGCGGGTGGGATGGTGGGTGGGCTCTTTTGTGTGTGGTTTTCTCCTCCTGTTCCTGTCCGCCGTTGCTTCTATCAGGGTTGATCACTGTCTGGTAGTGACGAACTGATACCGCCCAATGTATGTGGTGTAGCGATTAGGCGCTACGCCATCACACGCAGAAGACATGAGTTCGATTTCCTTTTGGGGAGTTTAAAAAAAAATTGAAGTATCTCTCCCCTCTTTCTGCCAGGGCATTGTATCCCTCTCAGTCTCCAGGCATTGACAGGTTTGTTTGAGTCTCATTTCCTTCATGATCTATATTGTTCCGATGGAGGCGTAAAACACCTACATGAAAAGATACTGGTATATATGCACCTTTCTGAGTAGGCTCTTTGCCTTGCACGCAGAAGACACGAATTCAAGTATCCTGTTGGAAAGATAGTTTATATCCTCAGTATCTGATAGGATACTAATTCAGCGGTGGAACACATTCACCTTTGAAGAGTATACCGCCAGTATTGTGTTATCGTTTAAATAGCAAGGTGTTTTGGGTTTTTTATGTAAGTTAATGTTTTACGCCCTCGTCAGTGTTTTAAATCGATTTGGAGGTGTGCGGCTGCGACCTTGTCTGCCTGGTCCAATCCGCCATGAAAAGGGATGCAAATGTGCTGTTCCCGTGTTCTTATAATTGTATTCTAAGAGTTTGTCGACATTTCCGATCATACGATTGACCTCAGTCTCGGGGAAAAAAAAGAACCCACCTCCGAAACCCTTTTCAGACGTGAACACAAATGCGGTAACACAATTTTCGAACACGGTTGTGTTGTGAAATCTCGTAGCTCCCTGCCCCCCTGGTGGGGATGTGCTGGCTTCAAAGAAAGAACGAGGAAGTAGCTGAAGTCATGAGAGTCTGAATGAGTTATTGCCCTTGGCGCTTTGCC